CTCCTTATGCTTATGCCACTGAACACTCCATTGTAAAGAAATTCTTAACTGAAGTTGTTTTAGAAACTGACATTTCTAGGATTGTTGGATGTTTAACTACATACAGCATTTGTCCAATTTTTAGAGTATATTACATTTTGTTAGCATGCCCTTTTACCAATCAATTATCTCTCTAATATCAATGAATCACACCTTAAACAGAGTCACAGTTGCACTGTAGAAGAGACTCAGTAGGAAGAGCACTATAAAAGTGGAAGCCGTGGTCCAGAGATTATCAGTGTCATCATCTTCTTCTATATACATCATATGGACTGTTGGAATGTAAAAAATCACATTATTGACACTGAATCACACTGCACAGTTGTGAACTACTAAATGGTATGTGGCAACAGCATAGTTAACTTAAATACAGGCAAAACCACATAAACTCACACACATACAGACATATAATATTATTAGAGACGAGGCATCCAGGATTTTCCATTCAGGATAATTCAAATCCCTTTCCAGCTACATGTTTCTTAGTTTTGGATAGAGTGTGAAAGGGAAAGAAACCCTGTTATCTGACAACTGTCATCTCCCTTATAGGAATAAAAAAAAACTGACAGTGCTATTTCTTTTCAACTTTTTAGCCAAAACTATTTCCATGTTAATTCAATGAAATCAGAGGTATTTTGCTTTGGCTCAATATATGGAAATGTATGTATCTATTGCCAGGTTCTGATCACATAGATTGATGATACTGCCACACATGGGGGGTTATTTACTAAAACTGGATAGTGCACAATCTGGTGCAGCTCTGCATAGAAACCAATCACCTTCAAGATTTTATTGTCAAAGCTTAAATGAACAAGCTAAAGTTAGAATCTGATTGGCTACCATGCACAGGTGCACCAGTTTCTGGGTGCACCAATTTTAGTAAATCTCCCCCATAGTACAAAGGACAAACGCTATACCCGTAACATGTTAGTGAACAACCCACAATGGAAGGCTATGTTATTTAAAGACATTCTTTGGAAAGTGCATGCTTGGTGCAATGGTTTGGGCTGTGAGACAGGATCTAAATGCTTGACCTAAGTGTCTGACTACACCTGGAAGCATTTTTATTCCTATGAAGTTATTTCTTAGCAATGTTTCTTTCATGCATCTAATAATGTACTTAATGATATGGACACTGTTACGATGCTGATTTTCTTTTCCATATTATGTATTATAGAATATATATTTCTCTATTGGAAAGTACATAGGATCATGGAAAATCCTGATATCTGCTTTTTGGTGATATATATATATATATATATATATATATATATATAAAAAACATCTCATACTTTTATATTGATTTATTGCTTTGACTAGAACAGCCCTGCTTTACATGTCATTATTCTTATAAGGTTAGTTATATTTGGATTTAGTAAATTCCCATGTGTTATTGTTTATAGAGATTATTAGCGTATAAAGACATCACTTTAAAAGATCGTAGCTGGGAATCAATGCACTATTATACATTTTGTTTATACTGGTTTATGCCTCATGTCTGTCTTTCAAAGTTATAGTGAATGTACTGCTAATAACTTGTGATATGTGAATATACTTATATTCCTCACGCCTATAATAAATTAATTAGTTAAATATCCAGAACTTCTATTTGATATGTGTTTTAACATGTATGTTTGAGTACTGGAAAACTGATTTGGATTCATTTATTGGTAACAGGGGGTTTAGATTTAGTTTGATATATGTTTGGAAAACTTGGATGGATACATTGCAGAGAAGTCTAAGCATAGTTTGAAAGTATGAATATTGCATAGGTGTTATTAACTAACATGCAATATCCAGACATAGATTATGGATTATGTGGGGTAGATTTGCTAAAACTGGAGAGTGCAAAATCTGGTGTAGCTGTGCATGGTAGCTAATCAGCTTCTAGCTTCAACTTGTTGAATTAAACTTTGCCAGTAAAACGTAAAAGCTGTTTGGTTTCTGTGCAGAGCTGCACCAGAGTGTGCACTCTCCAATTTCAGTAAATCCACCCCTATGTGTTTAGATACATTACAAAATTAATTTTCCTATTTTTCTTCTTTATAGAAATCTAATTGATGAACATTAACATTTTGTCTCCTGTCTTGCTATTTTTTCCCAAATATTACTTACTGCTTCACTCTATGGCTACAGAAATTGTAGTGGTTATTTATTAAAACTGGAGTGTGCAAAATCTGATGCACCTCTGCATAGAAACCAATCAGCTTCAAGGTTTTATTGCCAAAGTTTATTGGAACAAGCTGAAGTTAGAAGCTGATTGGCTACCATGCACAGCTGCACCAGATTCTGAGTGCACCAGTTTTAGTAAATCTACCCCAGTGTGTCAAATCAACTATATTCTTAGTTAAATACATCTGTGTACATGGATATATATGTCTGCAGGACTTCTCCAGGACTTCCCCCATCCTCTGGAACTCACTACCCCAATCCATCAGACTGTCACCTACCCTCCTCACCTTTAGGTGCACCCTGAAAACCCACCTCTTCAGGGAAGCCTACCCCACCCTCACCTAACAGCCGATCTCCTCCTACCACTCCATCCCCCACAGCCACTTCTTCCTGTACCACTATCCCCTCCCTCCTAGATTGTAAGCTCGAAAGAGCAGGGCCCTTGACCCCCTCGTGTATTGTATTGTTACTGTATTGTCTCATGTTCTGTCCCCCACTATAATGTACAGCACTGAGCAAACCTTTTAGCGCTATATAAATACTGTATAATAATAATGTCTGAGGCTGTCATCTTACATTTTAGTTAGTTTGGTGCAATTAATAATTAACCTGCTCTTAAGCTCAGTTGCAATCAAATGTTTCCAGCATTACCTTTTTATATTTGTTTAGAACTTTCATTGAGTTATATTAACTTTGTTGATGGCCTGTAAGTAAAGCCTGTGCTTTAAAAGAAGGTAGTTCAAAAATTTAGTGCACCCATAAAACAGAGGAGGCCACCTTCTGATAACACAGTGGAGGCCACCTTCTTGTGTTGAGAGAGATGTTGGCAGCTCTTTCACTACAGTGTGGATTTCTTTAGACTTTTTTTTTATAGTGTAATGGCAGTTCTTTTTATTTGTTGAAATAACAATTGCATTTTTTGCTATTATCAGGGTTTCCTGTGTAGGGTGCCTTGTGCAATGCATGTTAGTCATACGATTTAAAAATGTAAACCACGAGAAGGACCGAACATGAAAGTGTGTGGATTATTCTTTGTCTTGATATCTGATTGTGCAACTCTTTCTACTGTCCCATTTTCCTAATGTATGTCTTCAAATTCTATAACTCAAGAAATATAGAGTATATTGATCACTATTACTCTAATTATTGTAACAAAGGATTTGTTATATATTTTGCGGTTTAATATATTTTCTGGCTTGGTAGTCCATTGAATTGTGATTATTATTAATATTACTATACACAGGTTGAACTGGATAGACTAGTGTCTTTATTCAACCTTACCAACTATGTAACTATTTACTATAGTTATTATACAGGATGTAGTGGCAATAGTTTTCGCAGAACTTTACAAAACGTAAATGGTGAAAAATATGCCTTCTAAGGACTGTAATTTTTTTTTTCAATTGATAGACTTGTAGTGAGATGAGAAAAATGAGCAAACACACAGCATTAAGCAGGGAATTAAACAAAGACATGCACATAATGTTAAGCAGGGAATAGGTATCATTTTAAGAAGTTGCAATTATCTGCATATCTTAGTGGTGTACATACAGGGGCGGACTGACAACTCATGGGGCCCCCGGGGCAATAGGGGATCATGGGGCCCCTGTGTCCCTGCCCACACTCAAAAAAGCCTATAAAAAAGGTACCAGGGGCATTTCATGGGGCCCCCTACTGACCCCGGGCCCTCAGGCAGTGTCCGAGTGCTCGAATGGTCAGTCCGCCCCTATGTACATATATGTTTAGCTTGTACACAATGCAACTAAGCGCATATGTCATTTGTTTTTTAAAAGGGTGATTATGGAACCTCAGATATTATTAAACGGCTTGCTGAGTCTTCCGTTATCTGTAACAGTTCTGTATCTTAGCTGCTCTATTGTTTATAGGAATTTATACATTAAATTGTTTTCTGTTAATTGTTCCCCAGGTACGAGATGAAGATAATTTTGGATGAAGAAGAAGAATAAAGCTTTTAGATTTTGTGGCAATAAATAGCATGTGTTCCAGACTTCTGGATAATGGCAAAGTTTATTAATGTGTAATGTGTATTCACATTTCAATGTACCTGAGTTTTTTGGTTTCTGGGGCACTGTTAAGGACAGCTAAAGGTACAAGCAGACATCTCTGTCTGTATATATATATATATATATATATATATATATATATATATATATATATACACAAGTGCACAACTGTAGTTGCATGCTTAATCTGTAGGACAGATTTGCTTTAAGGGAATCGCATTTTAGCCTTTAATTGTGTGAAAATCCAGAAAAAAAATGAGTAGATTAACATGGCTGTAAACCATAATACATATTTCTGGCTTTTTGTTTGTTGTAGCTAACTTTTGAATGCTGGTTCTGATCAGTTAGTTCACTACCATTATGTTTTGCCCTATTGCCCTATGTTTGTATATAAACCCTAATGTTGGCCATGAGGAACAAGTACAGCTCATATTGTTGCACTTTTAACATAGTGTTATCTGTGTGTGAGAAGTTAGAATCTAGGACAACTAAGGAAGCAGCTTCAGCAACCATTGTTAGCTTCACTCTTAGCCACACAAGAACAAGACAGCTACACACATTCCATACATGAAAACAAGCGTTTTATAAATTGATTTTTTTTTTATTTCTACTTTTCAGGATGCAAAAAAAGGTTCATTGAAGTTAATGTACAAAAAGCAGACCAACAAACACCAAAATGACACTTCTCCTTCTTCCTCCTCCTCATTTTACACATCACACAGGGAAGAACAAAGGCAATGTTATTGGTCATTGTTTAAAGGACTGTTAACAAGAATCAGACATGATGAGGGACACATTCACATGATTCGGTTTGTTAGAGTTTTTGTCAATGGTCTTTTGGGTGGTGTGTAGTGGTAGTGATTCATGGCCAACTATACAGCTGTATGGTTTGCCATTGTTCCAATCTTCAACGCTTGTAAGGGTTAATGTGCTTAAGAGAAAGTAGGTTTTCCTGCTAGAAGAAGAGATCTCCTGTATAGGCCCAGTGGTTGCAACATGAGACTGCTCTACATTATTACTATCAATCCATTTGACAAATATGTCAGCTGGGCTGAAGCCTTTAACCAGACATGACAGAGTGGCAGTTTCTTTTTTAGCTAATTCATCTGGGTGTGGTGGGTATAATAAGACTATTGGAGCTCTGGCATCATGTCCTAGGAAACAAACAAACCATGTTGAAGAAAAAAACGTATACATAACTTGTGAACTGAATTAATAGCATGCTTTCAATGAGATGCAGAACATTGGGTAAAATGTATTAATAATGAGAAAACACAGTGTACCTAGAATAGCTAAATGGTAATACCACTGAACTGGACTAAGTAGTGGAAAATTAAGTGATTCTTGAGTATACATATGGCTCACTCACATCACGACCATTCCTCTGTCTCAGGGAAAGAGGATGGATGATTTGTTAGAGAGATCAATGGATCAGAAGCTTAAAAAGTTACTTGACTGGTGCACCAATACAAGATATCTTATAGGTACACCAATGTGAGTTATATGTGAACACCAGATGTCTATAGTTAAAACTCTCCACTATTTACTATATTATATATATACATATATATTTCAAATCAAGTGTCTGAAATTCAGATATAACGACTAATTCTTTAATCAGTCTACTTTTTTCAACCTAAATTTGCATCCACATTTGACAGCATACACTGAAAAGAGAGCATCATCAATAAGTTTGAACCCCATGAAAGGATTTAGGTCCTAGGAATCATACAAATTAAGTAATGACTGCTTTATACCAACAATGGCCATATATGCAACATTGTAATCTCTGCTATAAGAACAGGTTTTATTACACCTTTCCTTTAAACTTGTGAAATTTAAAGGGCAGTGAATTAATGAATGCATTAAATATTCATTAGATTCGTTTTTGAAATGTTAAACTGTGCTCGTAAAGAAGAATGAACATTTCAAGTGTAAAGAAAATTATTTAAAGTGAAAATACAGACATCTGTAATGCAATTAGTGCTTATATGTGCATTTAATAACGATTAGGAATTGTTCTATAATGCAATAAATACATACCATTTGGTTTAATGAGTGTGACAACTTCAACACGAGGAAGCTCGGGATGGCTCACGCTGCACTTAAAGGTCTTTGTTCTCCAGTCTTCAGGACAAACTGTAGCAATGGCCTTGGCAGTGTAGCTCCTTAAAGAGAAGTGTCATATTCTGGGTCTTCTATTTTAGTGTTGGTGATTTTTTCAGTATTTGAGTACCAGATGACCTCTAATCCATCCTTAGTATTCATGTTTGAAATAATGCAGGTGAGCGGGGCAGTATTCTGGAAATAAATAGTTTCAAATGATGGGGGAACAGCAGTCACTTTGATTTCACCAGCTGGGATCTGAAAATCTAAACAAAAGAACATAAAAAATATTAGAATACCTTATTTGTGTGATTCACTGTATTTGCACATTTTTTTCATTCACAGATTAAAGAGTTGAGCAGTAAAGAATCATTAAAATGCATTTGAGCATCTGGACAGTAGGAAGATATCTGGCACTTATACAATATTGCCATAAAGTTGATTTATCTATGTTAGTTTTCATATAAAGCTAAAGAGGCATTAAAGTTGTAGATAACAGTATTTTTCCATTGGATAACCACATTGAAACTATATAGGAAACACTCGCTCCCCATACAATTTCATTCATGTAAAAAATACAGTATATTACAGTCATAGGGGTTGATTTACTAAAACTGGAGAGTGCAAAATCTGCTGCATCTCTGCATAGAAACCAATCAGCTTCCAGGTTTTATTGTCAAAGCGTAATTGAACAAGCTGAATTTAGAAGCTGATTGACTACCATGCACGGATGCATCAGATTCTGAGTGCTCCAGCATGCAGTTGCCATGTTACTTGGAGTGAAATATTTCATGCTGAAGAGGATAGAACATTCACTGGTCACTCCCTTACCTACAAATGCTCTTTCCCTTCCAAAATTCCATTCATGGATGATAAAATAACTGTGCCTGTGCTTCAGACCATCCTGAACTCAGCGGCCAGACTCATCCACCTCACCAGCCGCTCCACCTCTGCCACCCCCCTCTGCCTCTCCCTCCACTGGCTCCCCATTGCCTAACGCATTAAATTCAAACTGCTCACTCTGACCTATAAGGCCATTCACAACACTGCCCCTAACTACCTCACCGACCTGATTCCCAGGTACCACCCTACCCGTACCCTTCGCTCTTCACAGGACCTCCTTCTATCTTGCTCCCTGGTCTCCTCCTCCCACGCACGACTGCAAGACTTCTCCAGGTCCTCCCCCATCCTCTGGAACTCACTACCCCAATCCATCAGATTGTCACCTTCCCTCCTCACCTTCAGGCGCTCCCTGAAAACCCACCTCTTCAGGGAAGCCTACCCCACCCTCACCTAACAGCCGCTGCCCTTCCCTCCTTCTACCACTTCATCCCCCACAGCCATTTCCTCCTGTACCTCTACCCCCTCCCTCCTAGATTGTAAGCTCGAAAGAGTAGGGCCCTCTTACCCCTTGTGTGCTGTTTGTAGTTGCTGTAATGTTTCATGTATTGTCCCCCCCCTCTATTGTACAGCACTGAGCAAACCCTTTGGCGCTATATAAACTCGATAAATAAATAAATAAATGTTATGCAGTCCCTTTTTATATTTGTCTTCCTTTTTGCAGTTTGTGTGTGTTGGTGTAGCAAAATTAATGTTCACTGAGCTTAGTAAATAAGGTAAAGTCATGTTCGCATTCAATACTCAGTCATGTGCAAGGAAAATTAATAAAAAGAAACTGGATTTTTGCTAGCTCATAACTGTATGACTGAAGGGAAGGGACGGAAAGGATTTACTTTTTGCAAAGTGAGCATACACGCTAAGTGAAAATGTTCTATTTATTTATTAAATAATCCCTAATGTTTACTGCATGCTGCCAACTTCTGACGAACAGCCGGTAATGGTTAATGAGGAAGTCTGCTTAATGTGCAATAGGGGAGACTATTCTATTCATGTCTGATGCTCAGCTGCCTTCCACGTGACACAAACTTACAGAAGTGGAGGGTTCCATGAATAGAAAGTATATGGGAGGGTAGGGAGAATCAGATGCCCTAGTAGCCTTGTGAACCTGTTCCACTCTCAGTGACAACATCATCTCAGAGCTAAAGCTTTCCCTACTAGTTTGTTACTGCTGCAATAAATATGAATACTAATCACTAAGATTTTTGACACTAAGCAGCATACATTAGTTAATCTTTAGGATTTTATGTTCATGTTTTAAAAAGGAACATTTTACTGGATCAGATGGAATATAAAATAACTTACCACATACAATCGATTTACTCAAATTCTTCATTTCTTGGAAGTCAGAAGCAGCATGTTTTACTACACATGAGAATGTTACATCTGTATCCCAGTCTTTTTTAGATACTACGATAAAGGAGACTACCGTAAAACTTCCATTTCCATTGGAAACTGCTTCTTCTGTTACGCTGTCATGAATCAATTCTTGATTCTTCATCCATGACACTGCAATGTTTTTAGGGTAAAATCCACTAATGATGCACGCAATTGTGGCATTCCCGTTTAAATCTATATCTTCCTTGATGGGAGGATGGATCGTTACTGTTGGTTTCATTGCAACTTTAAAAAAAAAAAGAGAATGTGTGCACGTTCAGTATCTATGTTATACCTAGTTAAATAGTACATATCAGTAACACAAATAACTATAATTACAATAAATGTAATATAAATTAGAGTACCAGAGGCACTGATCTACGCTAACCCCTTTGACCTTGTGAGCAACATGTTCATATATAACTAAAGGAGAGATATATAAACATATGAATCTTTGTTAAAATTGTAATATTATTCAATTTGTAATTACATTATATAAATGTGATATCCTCTGCTGATTTATTTTTTATAAATTATGATGCACAAGATATTCAGACAAAAAGGTGCTTCATTGTTAAACTGTTGCAATGAGATTGTAATGTAAACCATAAAAGAAAGCTGAAAACCACATGTTGCTTACAAGGCTGTAGATTGCTGACTTAAAGCATATCTAAGGCCAACAGGAAAAATTTAATAAATTGCACTTACCATGTGATGGCTACATTAGGTTTATTTTTATGGCTTTTTTCTTTTGTTTCATGGGGTTATCCAGCTAGTAAGTCTGTTATTTTAAATTTCCTTTAACAGACTAAGATGTTCAGCAAAATTGGCATAAACTATTTAGCACTGATAGGGCTGCTTACAATGATCAGCTTGTTTCATTTAATTAAAACCTTTCTCTCAAAAGGAAACAAATGGTTTTCTAACTGCCTAAAAAGTGTTAATTCATCTTAACTTGCTAGTGTATCTAATACCACCCTCTCCACAGGCTGATAATGTTGCTGTCCAACGGTGGCTCCATTTCTCCTACATAGAGTATGACAGGTGGTATTTTACTGTCCTAATCACAAGATGAAAAAATTAAGGAAGAAAGCCTAAAAAAATAATGCACCCATCACAATTAAGGATAAGCTGCAATATTTTTTACATTTTCATGTTTGGGTTTAGATATAGTACACTTTAACTTTTAGTACAGAGCTGAATATAATTTAGCCTGTACAGAGTTTACTTCTTTAAAATGAATACAAAAGTTGCAAAGTGAGAATGCCTCCTGTAAAGAGAAGGTGAGTTTGCTAAGCCCTACTTAAGAGTTTGATCAGTAACTGGGGTGCACTAGATAAAAAGTCTAACTAGCTCATAGTAAGAATCGCTAGCTAAAGTGAGAACCTGCATACTTACCGTTTATAAAGTACTAGCAGTCTCCTGAATCTGCTTTATTACTTTGAAACCTTTTACTAAATCTCTAAGCGCTATTCAATTTACTTTAAAGCGGAACTACACTGCATCTGAGCACCACAAACCAAAAACACAATTTAATTTATTTTTCATATTCTAAGCAAACGCTCCCATCCATTCATGTCTCAATGCTTTATTTTACTGAGAAATCACTTTGAAAAACACCCCCTGGAATTTCTGGTTGTGGCCACCTTGAGTAAGGGCAGATGATTCATGTATATATACTTCCTGTAATCCATCTGCCCTTAGCTGAGGCATGCAGACAGGAGGGTGTGCTAAGCTGAGAAAACCCCTTCTCCCTCCTGAAGACTCCTGGGGTGATGAGATCATTTGCGTAGTCATGAAAAAAGGAAGGAGTAACTGAATAAATGTATAAAAAAAAGTTTATTTAATAAGTAAATTTGATATACCTCCCTATCTATTTACTAATGCTAGCAACATAAGGATTAATAACTGTCAGTTGTGTTTGATAGAGTGAAGTTCCACTTTAAGGTACCATTCTATCTGATAAAAAGTTAAATGCTTAATGTTTTTTTAATGTAATGTAATAGAGATATAAGATTCTTACCTTTTGATAACTGAAGCACCACAGACTTGGTATTCTCTGTATGTTTTGCAGTGCATTTATAAGGATCGCTGTTCTCCCATTTGTCAGTTGGCACTTTAATTTGGGAGCTTGCTGTATAGGTGCCTCCATTTTGCAACACAGAATTGTACTTCTTGAGGCCATCGGAATAATTATTGTTGCCCTTATCGACCCAGGTGAATTCAATGGAGTCTGGGAGGAAATTCTTGGCCAGACAGCCAATGGTGGTGGTCTGTTCCTGTGATGTGCCGCAAGAAATAAGTGGAAAGAGAGATGGGGCCGACGGTACAGCTGAGAATAGAAGCAAAAGATGGAAGGAATGAGTACTGTAGTTAGGAGACAGAGTTTAGTACAAGTTAAAAGGGGAGATTTGAAGATATTTCAGTTTGGGTCCAACTGAAATTAGTTAATACTAGGTGGTTGCAGTAAGTGTTAAAAAGGGAGCTAAAGGTTCAGGTTAAAGTTTAGAATTAGAATGAGATTCCTGTTAGGATTAGATAACCTTTTCTCATACATGTTTTTTTAATGATCATGTATTTATATTATTTAAACAAATATTATATGTTGAAGAAAATTTACCTTTAAGATCTTAAACACTGCACCAGTTGAAATGCTGACCCCCCCCCCCCCAAGAAAAAATATGATATGCACCCCCCCCCTCAAAAAAAAAATGCTGTTTTTATGTCTAATAAACAATTTACTGGCATAAGGACATATTTTTTTAACTCCAGTATTTTTCTTAGGTATCAAAATACATTCTATAATGCTTACACTGAGAATCTACAGACTGCCATGAAGCATGCAGTGAGAAATAAACCTACAATGCACTTACTCGTGTTTCCCTTATTTCCTTGCCTTTAGCTCCTTGAAGCGCAATTAAAAGATTTTTCTGAGTTTATGATAATACAATTGAGACACAGTTGAGCATGTAACTTCTAATACTTTTTTCTGCTGAGCAAACCTGGGTTGTTATAAAAAAAAACCCCATCTATGGCATAAGTCTTGTATTTTGAACTTTAAGGTATAGTCCTCAGTAAGGACTGGCATGTGCTGTTTATATCATTTAAAGAATGCTGATAGCAAAATGATCATTTGGCAATAACATTCATTCATCTTTCAAATATCACTACTAAAAGCTACTATATTATTAGTTAACTTTACATACTGCACACTACTACTCATTGAATTATGCTTTCAAAAATGACAGTTCTGATGAATAGTCATATTCCTTTGGTCATACATTGACATTGTATGGCTGTTTTCTGATTATTTGAAAAACATCTACTAGCAAATCGCAAAAATGTCTGTTATCATAAGTGTGGTATGCTAACCGGTGAGACTACACAATGCCTAGTAAAGGTAATGCCAAGAAGTGCTAGTAATAATAATAACAACAATATTTATTTTTAATAATAATACAAACTCTCATGGAAAACTGATAATGTTATATTGCAGCACTACTCACATATAGTCAAACACACTGATCAGCATATGGGATCGTAACAGTAGCATGTGCTGTATGTATATATATATATATATATATATATATATATATAATATATTTAAGAACCAAAAGTTGTTTTGGCAGCATTAGGGCCAATGTGTATATTGTGCATTCTTTACTTTTTATTTTTTGTATGTAAGCCTAGCAGCAGTTAGAGTTGATTTACTGAAGGAGTACAGATTGTTCGCTTAGCTTAGAGAATAAGGTGAAGCTGTATTTGCTTTGAATAACTAATCATGTGCAGGCAGTGGTGTATTTAGGTTTCATGCTGCCCTAGGCAACACAAAAATCAGTTCCCCACCCCAGGGATACCCTGACACCAACCAACACCCCCCTCCCCCACGAAGAGAGCCTGATATTGACCAACAACACCCCAGCCCCCACCCGAGAGAGCCTTCCACTACCACCTCCCCCCATACACTGGCACCCCCACCCCTGTGAGAGAGAAGATACTCACCTTCACAGCTCTGGACATCCCTGGAAACAAGAGTCAGGCTCTTCATACACTATCAAGCAGCACGCAGCCTCTCTCAGCTGGTCCCCATGCTGTGTGTGTCCCTTCTTCCAGGGGGCCGGTGCTGCCTCCCTGAAAAATGCCGCTGCCCCCCTGTAAAATGCCACCCTAGTCAAATGCCTTGTTTGCCTTGTGGTAAATATGCCCCTGTGTGCAGGGCAATTAAAAAAAACAGGATTTGTCTTGGATGACTGAAGTTAACAAAGCAATATTTTACTAACTAAGTTAAGCATTCACTTTGCCAGGTACAATTGAGTATTGTCGCAAATGCACTAATATGGCTACAATCACCTCAAGCACTTTGCCAGGTAAACATTCTTTGCTCCTATAATGAATCAAGGCATCTTTGTTCATGTATTACACTTTGCAGAGATGCACATTGCCACAATGAAGAACTGTTTTTTTTCACACTAGGCCATCCTAGTATGGCCTTAATTCTTTTTGTGTATGTCTGACAGATACAGTTTGCATATTATATATGTTTATACATTTTTATAAATGATTTTATCTTTTCTTTTATACCGTGACTATAATTCCTACTCCTAATTCCTATAATCAGCACTGTGCTACTGGACAGCTCACTGATGATATACCATACATAATAAAAATACTTCTTGTTCTTCAAAGTATTAACTGTTTACTGCTATAGTAGTGGTTGGCAAATGTATATTGTATAATGCTTTTAAATGCTATAGAACCATATTGTGTGATATGAACACTTCGAATGCACAGTGGTGTTATACTTCAAAACGTTATATACAGTAATTTTACTCCACAAAGAATGGAGAACAGGCACACTAATTAGATTATGCAACAGATAATAGGTTAAATGTAATGATACAGCAAACTGTTCATATCATAGCATCTCATTATATAATAATATTGGGATTTGTTCTGCTTTAGGCTCAGATATAAAGTTCTTAACCTAAATCAGAACAAAAAACAATCTGTACCAATCTGTATCTTTCTCATTTTTACAATGGCTATTTATTTGCTGGAGCAATACTCTCAGTTTATTTACTCTTAGTTTATTTCATATATCAGCTCACTGTTATCAAATATATTTTGACTTGTCTTCTGTTTGCTCAGGTCAGTAGTAATGCAAATGCGGTTTTTCAAAGCAGCAATCAAATGCAGGTTCGTGCAGGGAGTCAATTGTGATTCAAATCAATCTTGCTGATTTTAATTAGCCCAAATTATTTCAGAAGCTTTATATACTGATGAGAAAAACAAGCTATGTTTGCCCATTGACACAGGCCCTAATGGATCTAGCAAGCATTTCCTCTTGTCTGTGCAGAATCTCTACTTCAGGGATAGGCAACCTTAAAGAGGTGGAGATCTACCTGAACAACATGAGAGAAGTCAAAGATCACCGGGCAGTGTCACCTCCTCACACCTAATTTAAACCTCAATTGCTGTACTACCATGTTGTAATTGCATGCATTGCACAGCAATCATGGGTTTAAATCTGGTGATGAGGAAGCAACATATCACTTTATAATGACCTGTCAAACACACTCAGATTGCTTTTCAGAGGAGCAGAAGTGCCTGCTGCATTTGTGACTGAGCCCTTGGTTGCATTCAGCAATGCCACCCCTATGGTTCGTCCACAAGTAAAGATGGGGATGGTAAAACCCTGCAATTGAGTCTCAGTTTTACCATCCTCAATACCTACCCCCCCCCCCCCTTTACCTGCTGAGGCAGCAGCCAAAGGTGTACACATTCCACAGCAGTAATTAAACCCACTTTTGCGTTTGGTGGATTCTACTGCCTGCCAATCGCAACCCATTCAAGTAAATGGGTCAATCTGCAAACGACCCACAACTGCATGCTTCTGCTGTGTCCAAGAGGGTTAAAGCAGGTGGCGAGAAGGCAACACAATGCTGTCTTCTTTAACCCCTTGTTTGCTGTACAGCACAAGGTTGCAGGACACTTGCACAGTGGCCTCATTCGCTTGGATGTATCATGCTTGGCAGGTGCTACACCCACCAACCATGACAGCGTGTATATGTCCTGCTTCAGCTGCGACATGTATACACCCCTGACCACTGAAACTGAAGGGGGTGTGGTTGGGGGGCAGGGGTGGTAAAAACACATCTTAACTATGGGGTTTTACCACAACTGGCAGGTGTGGTGCGCTTTTTGAAAGCGCAACAAACCCGCAGGATATAATAGAAGTCTATGGCTAAGCACAGCAAACCTGCAGGAAAGTTGCAGGTACACTGCATGCGCGGTGTGGGTAAACTGCAGTGCACCAGTGTGAAATCAGCCCTATACTATTATGCCCAGTGTATTGCTTCACACTGACCTGAAGACCTCTTCTTTCCTGCCGTTGGCACCACTCTGGAGACCACTAGCTGAGGCAAGAGGTGGAGTGCAGTTGGTATCCCTCCCCATGGGACAAGAGGCAGCACTACAGAGGAGGCATCGGCTTATGTGGCCCTTGCTCCCTACTACAGCTCCAACTTTACAAGTAGCCCCTCTACACTGCACTCTGTTTGATGCTGTGGTTTGGCGGGTCAGCAAGCGCAGACCATAGTTACATAGTTAGTCTGGCTGAAAAAAGACAAAAGTCCATCCAGTTCAACCATAGAAAAAAAAAAACTACCTGGCTGCGATCTACTGGTAGATCATGAGCTACAGGTTGTTGACGCCGCTCTGCATTATGCTTAGCTATCTTTTCTATATCAATATGAGCTTCACAGGGAAGTTTCACTGCTACTTAAGATACTTATAGCACTTTCTACCTTCTTATAAGCTGATCATTCTAAGCTCTACCTTCTTCTATATGTATTTTGTCCTATCTACGCTGTATATTACATACCGATATGTAAAATAACAACCAAACTTTCTTGAGTCATGGTAGATCTGCAATGCTATCCGTTTGCTTTATAGCACCCTGTGTACATTAGGTTTTGTATGCATTACATACACCCTCTTATTTAAGCACCTACAGGACCAGAGAGTGTGTACTTTTTTTCGAGTAACTGCTCCAAACTGTGGAATAAAGTACCTTCTCCAATGAAGCTTTCTAGAACGTACCCTATGTTCTGCTAGTCTCAGCAGTACCTGAACTTTCCTGCACTGAGCTGTGCCTTAAACATTTTAAATTCTGTGCGTTATACTGCATTCTCCTCTATCAGCTGAGTCTACAGGACTCAGCTGTCCAGAACAGCGTATATACCCTCAGCTATGGCGTACACGTTGTTTGTTGTGTGGTACAGTAACTGCATTGCATTTCCTACCTAAAGAGCAACTCCACCCAAAACAGATTACT